GCATGATATATTATCGATAAAAGAAAAATGTAATGCGTAATAAATCGTATTGTATAATAATCAAATATAATCTTTACGTAATAGAATTTTGTTTACGCTTCATAGACAAGATTTGTATATAGCAGTGCAATATAATATAATTCACCTTGATTCTTGATGTGTACTCACATACACAGTATACTCACATACATAGTTATACAGTAGAATTTAGGCACACAATTTTTAAAGTTTATTCTTTCCAAATTTCAGCATAACGAGATAATGTGAGAGTCACAACGTATTTATTTAAAAACATATTCTTATAAAACTAATGTAATATGTTACATCAGCTATAATCGAATACATATAAGTTATTTTTATTATATTCAATAAACTCTAACATTAAATTAATATACGTTAAATATAACGTATAATGTTAATATACGAAATTATATAACTTTGATCATTATATGAAAACATTCAATCAGCTCAGAATATATTGTATTGCATCGACTAAATTATTTTTCATAGTATCTATTTTATCAGATGAATTAAGATATTTAATCCTTACAATACAAGGTACTATTTGGTGCCTCATCCGTCCAAATATAGGTCATTAGAATCCGTTCGTTTTTTTTCATCTATTCAAAATGATTCAGAAAATCTCTAAAAAAAAATCTCTAAAAAATTTACTAACATACTTTCAACTTTTTAGAATAAATATTGAAACTTCATTTTGGAAAATAATAAAATGTAGCATAATGAATAATTTATAATTAGCGAAAGACTCAAAGAAATTTGCACGAATAGGAATCGCTCGGTCACTAGTGACTCGACCTTATACGGTAAGGGTTAACATTAAGAATCGCGGTACAATTCGTATTGAAATTGTAGGTAATAATTTTTAAACAATCACCATGTTACAGGAAATCAAGACAAAGTTGATAAGATTATACTATTGGAATGGCTTAATGTAAAAATTCACATCATAAAATGTCTTTATACAATACATGTATGTAATTTATTTAGATACAAGTATTTCTTTTATTAATTTTTGAATTTTAAAATGAAATAAAAGTTTATTCCCAAAGAAAATTGTTTATTATAAAATATTAATGCTCTGGCTAAATGAAAAACTAAATAATATTTTGTTTTTTATACAAGGCTTTTTATATAATGCAGCTATATAATTTATATTTAGTATTTCACATTAAACCATTCAAGGTAACAAACTCTTTTAAGGAATAAAGAGAATAATCATAGAAATTTACATTAGCAATTAACACACATAAGATATTATGTAAATTGTATTATATAATTGTATTATATCATAAATCAATTGTCGTTTGAATGAAATTACGAACATTGCTGACGTTTTCTGTTCAATTTGTCGATATCGCTTAATGTTCACAATTTATAAAAGTTACAATCGCACAACAGGTAAAATAAATACATATAGCATTGATATTATTAGATTAATATCTTTTAGTACATTAATTGTTAAAAATATATAGAAATTTGCATTGTATCAGAAATATTTTAAAATAAACATAAATATCTCAAGCTATTATGTATACGAAAAACATTTTTCATATATGTATAATAAACCAATGTAATTTATTAGTTTTATAACATCTAATATCAATTTATCTAATAACAATTTATCAGCAGCTATTTGTATTTTTTCTACCCACATGACTTTTTAGCTATTCATTGATACAAATTACGTGCTTACATCAAGCATATATTTTTCGCGTAACTGTAGTGACAATTTTCACAAGTATTTATATCTAGATAAAAAAGATGCCTTGTATATATTGAAATATTAAACAATAAAATATCAAACTTAGTTATATATCCGCGTTAAGGGAAATAAATACAAATATATACAGAGTAATAAATACAAATATATTCGCGTGTAAAATAGGTATTTCCAAACGGAAAATATCTATTTATAATTATTGAAAAAATATTTAGCACAACAGATATTGTATATATATGGCATACATGAGTACTTTTACATATGTTAAACTAGATATGTATAACAATTAATATTATATATTACGCATTTTAAAGTTTTGGATTTATCGTATACGATAGAAAAATACATGAGAAAGAATCAAGTTTTTTTTCCTAGTACAATCAACGGATGTCAATATAATTGATATTCACATATGACATCTGTATTGCAATCTCAATTCTTTAACTTATGCATAAAATGCATTAAAATGTTGACAGGTAACGATATAATATTACATAAAATATACATATATAAATTATAAGTATCGACATATAATTATTATATAAAATTAAAGAATTTTAGGCTTTGTAAACAATCAGTCAACTTCTGTATTGGATACACTGTACTGGAATCCCTTATAAGAAACATCAGAGTATTTTCAGTGAAAAACAGAAACATTGTTAGTTTATTTTTTAATCCTCTATAACGCAATATAATTTTGAAATTATATCATCATATTTATATTTATCATATTTATATTTTTTAAGTTTTATTTCATATTTTTATTATAATTGAATATAATATTTTATTGATGCATTATGCTGCATTGCAATATTGTTACCTAAAAGTCTATTTACAGTGGATTTTTTACAAAAAATGAGGATAGCTCATTAGCCAATTTTTTTCTGATAAAAAGAGACATAAAGTATTAGGAGGTAAAAGTTTTTAAAATATAATGTTCAAAATACAATATATATATATATTTTTGCTTAATTTTTAACTTCAAATGCGAATTGTTTTATGGACTTCCACATACTTAACATATAAGTAAAACTATGTTACATATGTATATGCAAGTGTTGTACTCTACTATGAAAAACTTCAAAATCATAAATCATTTTTTAGAATAAAATATTAAAAAAATTAAAAATTAATTGTTAATTCATATCTCAAAATCAATATTTGTTTCATATTTTTTTCCAAATATAAAAAGATCTATAGTTATAGAGGATTAACATTATTTGTTCGGTTAGCGACAATGAATAATAATATTTGTAAAAATTACTTTCGGCATAAATTAACTTAACGAAAGCAACACAAATAAAGATTAAAAAATAAGATAATTTCTAGATTGAGGTATCATCGTGTATAAAGAAGACAAAAACCATCATAATTAAGAGAGCCGAATATATCGAGCGTAAAATTTCATTTCCGACTGAAGAACGGAACAATATGCTTACCCTTTCTAATTCATAGTCATCTGCTAGGAGAGCCTCCTCCTCGTCATTACCCAGATCGTATTCTTCATCCCCGAGATCTTCATCTAGCAAGGTATCATCACTAAAAGAATCAACAAAATGTTTTTTTGAGAGAAAATGTAATTACAAGAGTGTTAACGGAAAAGAAAAATCTCTGGTCTCCAAAGTGACAACAATTTACGTCATTGTTAGAAGCGTTAGCAATTCTAACCTGCTTATTTCGAACGAGAATTCGCGATCGCGACAATTCGGAGCAATCGTTTTCTAGTTACAGTTTTAATAGAAAATTACACGAAAATAAAATTCCAAAATTAATTATGTGATATTCTGGAACAAGAAATGAAAATACTTACTGCTCCGACATCGTAAATTACGCTTCTCAATATTCGTAAAGTAGAACGGAATCAAGGAGCATTAATGAGCTTTAAGGGGTTCAAACCGAGACGTAGCAAGATGTCAAGGTGGACCAAATCACAAAATCGAAGACTCCTTTGACCTCTTTTGCACCGAGCATTTAATACGCGTATTAACTAGTAACTTTCTATTAAATTATCTCAATTTCAGCAATGTATTTAAAGAATGATGTACTAAATTGATATATGCGTCAAATGATTAATTAAATATTTATATCGTATATATGTTTAGGTGTAGCGTCGAAATTAAAGCTTGCGGTACACAATGCTTATTTTTCTGCTGGATTGCTAACCGGATTAGAATCTTGCCACTATTGGCTGCGATGCTGTCAGTGCCGGCCAATACGATGGCAAGATTCTAATCTGGCTAGCAATCCTACAGAAAAACAAGCATCGTGTGCCGCTGGCTTAAGATAATTCAATAGAAAGTTATTAATTATAATAAACGTATCAAATGTGATGTAAACTAGGCCAAAGGCACGCTTCTATTCTGCGTAATTTGTAGATATAGTACAGACACGAACCACGTCTACTTTCGATAGTTTTAATGCTACGATTTTATTAACGTATCACAAAAATAGATGTGATATAGATATATTACGGCATCTAGATCTAAAAGTATAATCCAATCAGCGCAAAGAAAACTTCCAACAATTGCAAAATAAACATTCTGCTGAACGCAGCCATTCACAATCGCAGAAAAAAAAATTCACTAGGGTATTCATAATTTAATTGATTAATACCTTACTAGGTATTAATCAATTAAATTATGAATACTTAATTGAATTTGCTCACTTTTGTAATTTTCACCTCATTTGAAGATACTCAATCAATCCTCAGAGCTCTGATTGAACAATTCGTTATTTACTATTGCCTGTGCCTATTGTGTTTAAACCTTAATAACTGCAGAATTGTGATTGGTCACGCTGTTCCATTCCGCTGTAAATATCCAGATCTAAAATGCTGATTGGATGATCTAAAAGAATACATCAATAACAACGAGCGCTTACTCACAACTGTTAAGTTTGCTGAATGCCATTGTTGTGTGATTAGCCTATTTTACACCGAGAGTTCGAGTCAGAATGTGATAAAAATTAACCAACTGCAATCGAGCATTTCCCTGTTACAGTCGAATGACAAACAGTTGGTTAGTTCTTATTAAGGCTTAAACACAATAGGCACAGGGAACAGGGAATAACGAGCTGTCCAATCAGAACTCTGTGATATAATATCGAACTTCAGAGCTCTGATTGGACAGCTCGTTATTCTCTGTTGTCTGTGCCTATTGCCTGTGCCTATTGTGTTTAAGCCTTTACATTCCCTCGGTGTAAACTAGTTGATTGACATCCACTTGAGAGGGCAGTAGCGCGCAAAGCATTTTGTGGTTATAGGAAAAAGGCCCTCATGTCCCTTCTTTGGTTTCTCTCTAATTTGAGCTAACGCATGTGAATACTGAACGGATTTCTGTACTTGAATATTTTCAATTAGATATATTTTTAAGTTTTGGAAGTTCATCTTAAGAACTAGTTCGATAGCGGATTCTTTGTCGTAGATACTGATCGAGTAGTTAAAACGGACATGGCTTCGACTAAGGTCGACTGGGGGCAATGCGCCGATGAACAGGATAAATTGGCGTCGAAGGTAAAACGGGATTGTTGCGGATGCGCTACAACGGTGTAAGCGTGATTCTTTTGATGTTTACGATATCCATTTCATGAATCCATCACATGGAATCACTATTGTTGACGGTTTCACGACTCGCTATTAGATAACTTAGATTTATAACTTTTTTGTTTTTATTTTTTTCTGTTATAACTTATATGGTTGATCTGTTTTTCGTTTGTTGAAACACGCTATGCCAGAAAAAAAGAAAATAATGTAAGCTTCAGTTGGAACCATCATGTCAAACTGATGTAGCAAGTACATTGATTATATATCTCGTGTATAGGTGACAAGTTTGAACTTGGATAAACCGAACTCAACGTCTATCCCTGCTCCAACTGTGAAAGATGGAGATTCCAAGAGTGATGACGATACGTCAGAAGAACAGATCTCACCAGCAGAGAAGTCGCTCCTACAAAAGATCATAAGGAAAGGATTAGTGGAGACAACGAAGGATATAGAGATTCAAAGACAAGACCCAAATTCTCCGTTATACAGTGTCAAAACCTTTGATGCACTTCATCTGTAAATAATTATATACATATATTCATTTCAATTACTTTTAATTATTACAAGGAGATCTGATTGAAATCAATGCTGTCTAGTATTTGTAATTCTGAGCATTGACTTAACATATATTAGAGTTTATGCTTATGTATATTGTCTTCTTTTTCTTCATTAAGAAAAAGAAAGATAATAGACACTGATACATTATACCGATGCCCAAATTTATAGATTGAACAGCAATGATTTAGATCCATCGATTTTAATCATTACTACTATTGGATACTTTCTATTTGGCGACACAAGTTGACACGAGCATGATTCTTTATAGTATTCAATGAATAATGAAGATAAAACGAAACTAATGTTGACTTGTGTCATCAATTGAAAAGCCTAGTATTTGTGACATAATTTAATATGATGACATATATATGTATATAAATTACAAATATTTCTTATTTTACATATAGCAAACCTGCCTTGTTAAAAGGGGTTTATGCTTTGGGATTCAATGCACCTTCTAGAATTCAAGAAACTGCTTTACCTACTTTACTCGCTGATCCGTAAGTATTTACTAGAATTATTATTTATTTTTGATATTCTTGACTTTTCTTAAGGGAAGACAACTTTCAAACTTGCTTGAAATTTTTTTTAGACCACAAAATATGATCGCACAATCTCAGTCTGGTACGGGTAAGACAGCTGCGTTTGTACTTGCCATGTTGAGTCGGGTAGATGTTACGAAGGAGTATCCACAGGTACTTTGTTTGTCACCAACTTATGAACTAGCGATCCAAACCGGCGAAGTAGCGGCAAAGATGTCGCGCTTCTGTCCTGAGATAAAAATAAAGTACGCTGTAAGAGGAGAAGAAAGTAATATATCATTCTCTCGTGCAATTTGAATTGCCTATTAAAATAAATGATTCTCTAGAATTAATATTGCTTTAACTGTTTCAGTAAGTCGTGGTTCGAAGATTAGTGAACATATTATTATAGGAACTCCAGGTAAAGTATTGGATTGGGGACAAAAGTTCAAATTCTTCGATTTAAGCAAAATATCTGTATTTGTATTGGACGAAGCTGACGTTATGATTGCTACGCAAGGCCATCAAGATCAGTGTATCCGTATTCACAAGTAATTTTTCCGAAATGTTTATGTGATCGAATATGTTTATATTTTGTGCAAAATATTACTTATATTTATTTCATGAATAGATTACTGCCACGTGCATGTCAAATGATGTTCTTCTCTGCGACATACGAGCCGGAAGTAATGAACTTTGCAGAGATTATAGTCAGTAATCCGCTAATAATACGGTTGTTAAGGGAAGAAGAAAGTTTAGATAATATCAAACAATACTATATTAGATGCAAAAATGTAGACGAAAAATACACAGCTATCACTAATATTTATGGCGTGATTACTATTGGACAAGCGATTATTTTTTGTCATGTAAGATCGGTTGTATAAAATATTAATTAAATCCTATAGAACTTTATAATAAAGTATATCACTTATTTTTAGACGAAGAAAACAGCTAGTTGGTTGGCAGGAAAAATGACAAAAGATGGACATGCGGTTGCAATATTATCTGGTGACTTGACAGTGGAACAAAGAATTTCTGTGCTGGATAGATTTAGAGCAGGACTCGAGAAAGTTCTCATCACTACAAATGTTTTAGCTAGAGGTAAATACAAAGAAAGGACTTCACCTATTTTTATACTTTATGGATTTTGAATTTGTTGCGTAATAAGAGTTGCCTCACATACTTTCCATAATAGTAACCATAAAACGTAAAAAATAGCTGAAAAATCAGAGCTGAATTTTTTTTACAATTGATTGTGATTGGCTAATTCCGATATATCTTATGATTACTTATAGAAAGTATGTGCAGGAGTTCTAATAAAATTTAATTTTTAGCAATAAAATGAAAAATTATTGTTAGAGGCTCAAATGTTTCATATACATTCTCTAAGTCGATGCTGTTCAGAGATATCTCTGAAGCATTGAACACATTGATACATTTTAGAAAAAAAATATTTCATAAAATATTATTTTTTTTTGTAACCAGACCTTAATACATTTATGTACTAAATAATGAAATAAATTAATTGATTTAAAGAAAATACATAGGTGCTTTAAAAAAAATTATGCAATTTGTAATATGCAATTACATTAATTTTGAAAAATAACTATGTATTTTATACAAATTATTCCATTATTTTATGTTTAAAAGTGATAAAATATAGTAATCAAAAAATCAATAATTTATGACATATTTTATATTTCATGTTAAAATATAAAATATTTTGTAAAAACTATTGATTTTTAATAATTCTATCTTCTATTTTTATGCGCAGAATAGAGGAATGTAAAAATGTTACGTAAAAAATCATTCAATTCCATTAAAAAATGGCGATAACATCAATCTTTATATGATTTCGAAAAAATGATTTGTTGATTTTGGCAGCCATTTTTTTTAGCAATAATAGTATATATTATTCTCTTAATGATCAGTATGCAATTCATTACAATATGATAGTCCCAAAATTGACAGGAAAAATTGTTTAATATATGACACGTACACGCATACAGAGTGATCATTATTTTAATAATTTTGATGATCGTTATTTTAACAATTTTGGGACACTCCTTAAAGTTTTTCATTATCTCTATGATTTTTTCTGACAAAATTGTAACAAATTTTTTTCTTTTACCTTTCCTCTTATAAACATCTTTTCTATTTGAAATGCGATAATTCAGCTAAAAACAATCATTTTTTACTCATCCGGAATTTGTTCTAAGCAAAAAGACATACGGAAATTGGTTTTATACAGTATAAAATTTGAAGATGTTTCAACAAAGTTATGAAAAAAAAAACAAAGAAATTTTTTAGGAGGGATGCTTTCATTAAAAAAAAAATGACTCGTGCAAAAGCAAATAATTCAGTCGATAAATTTTATTTTTGATTCGGTCAAAGCTCTTAACACATAGAAACAATTTAGGAACAGGAATCTCACGTTAATCCGAATGAAATATATGTTATCTTTTGAAATATTAAAAAAAAAAATGGAAAAAGTTCCCATTTAAAAATCATATTAAATTTTAAAATCCCAGTGATACGAGTTAATATTGTTCAAAAAGTCAGAAAAAATTCTGGTGTTATTTTTAGAAGATAATTTTAGGAAGATGTCCTGAAAAAATTTCGAATATTGTTAAGATATCGAAAAAATTTCGAATATTGTTAAGATACACACACACACACACACACACACACACACACACAGTTTATAAACTTTTATCTGTATAATAAAACAATATGTTGATAATAATGTACAATGTTTTTGGCAGGCATCGATGTAGAACAGGTAACGATAGTAGTCAATTTCGATTTGCCAATGGATCAAAATCGGCAAGCCGATTGCGAAACATACTTACACAGAATCGGAAGAACGGGACGATTCGGCAAGTCAGGGATCGCCATTAATTTAATCGACTCGGATCACGCGATGGAATTGTGCCGAACTATAGAAAAACACTTTGGCAAGAAGATCCATTATCTCGATGCAGAAGATGCAGATGAAATCGAGAAAATCGGAGCCTAGGTTAATATGGCTTTCTATCATGGATATATCTAGGCTTTAATATACTATTTTTTAAAGCGGACTTCTCTTTGTATTTTGAATATAAAATGAGATATTTCTTTTCCAACTATATAACTGTACACTACAAAACCGCTTGTCTACTGTCTTATTTTTTCTTCCGCATCCATGTTTGATATATTTCATTGGATCAAAATAAGATTTAAAATTGAAAATATTTTTATGTTGCATATATTGACTGCACGCATACGCTGTTTATTCAATTAATTTAAAAAATTCTGTCTCACTTTAAACTTCGTTTGTTAAAGAAAAACTTGCGGAATATTTTTTTCCGACTGTATAATTTTATTTATAATCAAAACTCGATTCAGTCAAGTACATCGAGTAAAACAATTCATGCAACAGGGTTATGTTATTATAAAAATTTAAACAGGGATATTTCATATATGTAATATAATAGGGAACCAACAGAAAAGCATAATATAAGAATATTTTTTTATTACGTTTGTCTCTTTAAGTAATCGCGCGAGATATAATTTGATCAGCCTGAATATCTTCTTAAATGTTTATAATTTCAGAAAATAGCAGTTTTAAGCTCTACGAACGTATTCTGAAAATATAAATGTCAATAAATAGATATTTAAGATGATCACGGTGGAATAGGCCTCGAATAAGATGGTAATGTAGTAGCAAATTCCTTATATTGTGATTAAATATTATTTCGGCATATTTATATTAGTTTGAATAATTGTTTAAAAATGACAAACACAATATAATGTAATACCATATATTTATATCTATTCTAATAAAAATTTTCGCTCTATCCTTATCAATCTTATTAATCATTTACTTTTACTTACCACAATCTATCTAACAATGTTAAGTATGGAAAGGAGAGGTAAATTATAATTTTAACACACATTTATTCAGACCGAAAATAAATTTAACAATTGCAAAATCATCAAAGCCTAAATAATTAACCTTCCACAATTAATACGCGCACATTCATTTTTACATTTGCATCTTTAATGAATATTATAACTAGGAAATTGTATAAAATGTTGAATAAACTACTCATTTTTATAACTATATTTATGAAACAATGTAAACCTGGAATATTGGGAATACAACGATGAATAGAATTCAAGAATTGTTATTGTTATAAATTGGTTGAATTTGTCAATTCATCGTAATTCTACATTCTGTATAAACACGTTAACAAGTTCGTCTCATGTAGTGAATTTTTTACATTATTAAATGCATTTGTATTTGAAATATTTACGCATCGCATTTATTTATGCATCGCACAAATTAAACGAAATAAATCGAGTGATCTCCGTATAGATTCATAACATTACAGATTCGTAAAACAAAAAAAAAGTGGAAACGGCGTTTCATAAAAATAGCTTCATACTACGCGAGTGATATTTTATCGCCTGTAATGTTTCGAAGTACAAATTGTACGAGATAGTACGGATATCTATTTTATTCTGTTTGAACAGAATCTATGTTTAAAATTTTTTAAACAATATAGCATAGTACAATCGCGTTTCATTACAAACAAGAGTGTAACTCATGGGCTGTGTCTTTATCTCAGTCTTTGTGTTGCACTTTTTACATCATGCCGCCCATACCGCCCATTCCACCCATACCACCCATACCGCCCATCGGTGGTTGGGGTTCCTCCTTGGGTATCTCGGTGACGACCGCTTCTGCCGTTGTCAACAACGATGCCACACCAGCAGCGTCCGTAAGTGCTGTTCGTACGACTTTCGTGGGATCGATGATGCCCTTTTCGATCATGTCGACGTACTCGTTATTAAGGGCATCGTAACCGAGCTTGCCCTCACTTACTTTGGCTACTACCACGCTGGCATCAACGCCGGCGTTCTGCGCGATCTGCAAGCATGGCATACGCAAAGCATTCGCCACGATCTTGATTCCAGTTTCTTGATCGCCGTTCACAGCCTTAAGCTGTTGTAATATTGGTATGCATCTCAACAATGCGGTGCCACCTGTAAAAAATTAATGTTATATTTAACAATTTAATATATATTTAAGTATGTGAGCTACGCGAAAACAAGCTGATGAAAATAAAACTTCACCTCCAGGAACGATTCCTTCTTCGACAGCGGCGCGAGTGGCGTTGAGCGCATCATGTACACGGTCTTTCTTTTCGTTAACTTCCACTTCACTGCTTCCACCAACTCTCAAGACGGCGACGCCTGACGCTAACCTCGCTAGACGTTCCTGCAACTTCTCTTTTTCATAATCGGATGTGGTGTTTTCAATTTGATCCCTGATTTGATCGGCTCTTCTATCGATATCAGATTTTTTTCCCTTGCCTTTTAAGATGAGAGTATCGTCTTTTGTAATGATGACTTCTCCCACCTGGCCCAAGTCGCTTAGCTAGAGAAAAAAAGTATTACATTCGTTAAAGTGTGACTGATGAATGCGCTAGATAACTTAGTAGTAGAATAGTTGCCTATAAACTAATAAGTTCGGGTTTGATTCCCAGTCCTGCCATTACTTAACTCTATTATTTAAGTAGAAAAGATATTATTCCATTATTAAGAAATTAGAAATTACACAAGTTCTAAATCTAAATAAGGTCAAAGTTACTTGTGAAATCAATTTTAACTGGAGTAATGTGATTCCGTATGAGAACGAAACTCAACAAGTTAGCAAGTCTCAAATTCAAATCCCAACTTTTATCTCATATGCCTAAATTTATAAAAAGTTTAATGGAGAGTTGAAGTTATGAAGAAGTATAAAATAAATAAGTAATCCTTTTTGAAAACAATAAAATGATACTATTCATTCATACTATTCAATCAAGCTACTATTGGATGATTAGATTGGATAGATACCTGGACATCTTCTAATTTGATGAGATTGGCGTCATCACCGAATACAATGCCACCGGTGGATATTGCCATATCTTGAAGAGTGGCCTTCCTATTGTCACCAAAACCGGGAGCTTTAACCGCAGCCACTTGTAGCCCAATTTTCAAACGATTAACAACGAGAGTCGATAAAGCTTCCCCATCCACATCCTCGGCGATTATGACAAGAGGTTTACGTTGTGAATTTGCCAATTCCAAAGCGGGTATGATAGTTTGAACGGAAGAGATCTTTTTCTCGCTAAAGAGAAGGAGCGCGTCTTGGAACTCGACTTTGGCTCCTTTACTGGAGTTGATGAAGTATGGAGAAATGTAACCTCTGTCGAACTTCAGCCCCTCTATGACCTCAAGTTCGTCGATGAGCGTTTTGCCATCTTTCACAGTGATCACACCTTCCTTCCCGACCTTCTTCATAGCGTCCGAGATCAAGTCGCCGACGGCTTTGTCGCCGTTAGCGGATATTGTTGCCACTTGGGCGATTTCTTCGGGTGTCGTGACAGGTTTGCTCAGAGTTTTCAATTCATCTTTGACTTTGTCTACTGCTAACATTACACCTACAAAATCGTAAATTGTTTAATGTTATCTCACAAAAATTCATATTTTCATATTTCATAAAAATATTATAGTAATGTATATAGATTGTTCCTTGATTTATCTTGAAGCTTAGATCAAAGTTCAACATTTTCTAAACCCTCCAAGATATATATATATATATATATTTATTTAAAAAGTGAAAAAGATTAAGTATAAAAAATAAAGTTTCCCAGAAAAGAGGAAAAATTGTTTTTGACAGAAACTTATTAACTAATCAAGTAATATTATAGGATTAGATTGTCATCTAATTGACTACGATGTTCACTATCAGCACCACCGCCAATACAGTGGCAAGATTTTAATCAAACTAGCAATCCAGCAAGAAAACAAACATATTGTGTCACCAGTTTAAGTTAGTTCGCTTTTGATAATTGACATCAACGAAATACTATTAAAGATGGCCTGTCCTGGGCAAATTTTCGTGACAATCAATGGGATCTCAGGATAATTAAAGAACAATTCCATTATTGACAATTGATATAAATCATATATACATATATATATATATATATGTCTATGAATCCAATAAATTATAAATTAATATATCAGTTTCTTACTCTTATGTCCAATTTTCTCACTTCCAGATAAGTTACGGATAATTATTATTATTATCCATAACTAGTATTAATATACTTATCTCTATATGGAGATATCTCCATATCTATAGGAGATATCTCCATTGTATTCTAGAAAATATCTCTTGAATAAAATTGTCTAGAGATGAAGAAATTGGACATTAATCACTTAAATTTTAGAAGTCACGTGAACTCCCATGCGACTGACCACTTTTAATAGTATCATGTCGGTGTAATTGATGATTATCTAACTAATTTAAATTAATAATTATAAAATCATGTCATTTGAAGTAAGAAAAAAATATAAAAATGAACTGTTTATTGTATAAATTGATACACTTACCTCGTCTGATTTCTACGGGATTGGCACCTTTACTGATTTTTTCAAATCCTTCTTTGGCTATTGCTCTAGCTAATATGGTTGCAGTAGTGGTACCATCTCCAGCTTCCTCATTAGTATTATTAGCTACATCCTGTACCAACTTAGCTCCGATATTTTGAAACTTGTCTTTTAGTTCAATGCCCTTTGCCACAGTCACGCCATCCTTTGTGATTTTTGGGCTTCCCCAACTCTGCTCCAGAATAACGTTACGTCCTTTAGGACCCATCGTTACAGCAACGGCATCTGCTAAAATATCTACACCTTGCAACATCAAGGCACGAACTTCAGCCCCAAAACGTACATCTTTGGCATAAGTACGTGCCTGCAACTGGCGCAGAGCAGCTCCTCTCAATACAGTAGGTAATCTATGCATCTGTAAAAAAAATACATAATGTATGTCAGTTAAGGATAATTTATTTTTCACTAATATGCTTAATCCTAATTTCTGATGCAATCATTAATAACATTGATTCATCATTAAACACATTGGGTTCTCACAGATTCCCTATCTGCCATTATTTCAAACAAAAAAAATATATTCGAAAACATATATATGTGTGTGTGTTTTATATATACTTTTTTATGCAATATAAATACAAGAACAGACCTCTCTAACAATTATTAGGTTAACATAATTAATGGCATGCACACCCAACGCTGCGTTTTATGAATGATAATAAAATGCAAAAATAAAAAATATTAAAAATTCTAAATTTAGCTCTTTCATCAAATTTCTCTGCATTACTTGTAGATGCAAATATTTCGCAATTTAACGAAACAAATTTCGTTGAACACTAAAGAAGTTGCATGAAGAGCGATTTATCATGAATAACCGAAGTCAATACTCCTCGATAGTGAGAATTACTTTACTCCGAAAACACGGTTATGTAAACGTCCCGCATGGCGTGGCGATCAAAGGTTAACGTTTAACAGAAATTATCGCGGAATCTGACTAAAAATCGTTCGATTAAACGCATACTTTCTCTCGCTCAAATTGGTTGTGAAGAAAAGAATAAGTAATATTCCACCGAATGATCGCGAAGAGATCGAGGGCGAATGATATACCCGACCGGCTAAAAATTCGTCCCGGCGAAGTTTCTCGAATTTCCCGGAGAAGCACGTGGCACGAATTCGCGGCTCAATCGCTTCACCTTTGATCCTTAGGAGAAATTCTTTGATGAACGATCGATGATCGGTGTTGGAAGCTGAGGGTGCCGAAAATCGATAATGGCGTGATCGAACCGCAAACGTTGTCTTCGCTGATAAAAGACGAGTGGAATGAGCGCAGGATGAGAAGACGAAGAACGTGCGATATCACATGGATGTAGTGATCGGGCGGGAGGGGAGGAGGGATTTTTCACGCATGCGCGACGGTGACTATCAGTAGCGTATCACATCGTATACGATTACCCTCGATTCTCGTACAAACAACAATTCTTCCGCTGCAAAGGACTTAATCGATCGATCGTTACATTGGAACTGACCAATTGTATTTGCTGTCTAGTAGAATTGACCAATCACGGTTGACACTTAATCGACCAATAAAATTAATCGGAGTTGGTGATTACCGGCCCAAAGTGCCGCGTAAGCCGTAAAGTTGTCACGTGCGCATGTTCTAGAAAATACGGCGACTCCGAGCAATTCCGCATAATGCAAATGATGCAATCGGCCGACCGTTGACGATCACCTTTTTTTCCTTCTTCCATTATGCCATCTTTGCATAGATATATGTGGAGATGATTACCAAGTTACAATTTCGACCAAGTTCGTTCAGAATGCAATAAAGAATTTCATTATAATATACCACAAGTACACGTAGAATCATTCTACAGTAAGCCATTGTACGTACTTATAAGCTTATTGAACCCCAAGTTGTAAGAAATTTAATTCCCATAATATTATACGCCCTCCAAATTTACAAATAAGTATTAGGCGATTTTACATATAAGAATCAAGACGAACAATAAATCTACTTTATCGATAATCTATCAGTGAATCTATAGACTGCTGACTCAGCTCCCAACAAACGAAAATAGATTAAAATGAATTAAAATTTTTTTTCTATCCGAATGCGTATTTTAAATAGCGAATACTTTTTTTTGGATTCTATTGGATTCAATTAGATTCAATTCAACGCAATTGGATTGAAAAACTGCATTTCCTATTCAAAATTTTGAATTGAACAGTATTCACAACGTGTGTGTTTTGCACAGAAAAAGCTAATATTATTTTTAGATTGAAAGGCATAGAGATATGACTGCAATTCTTATAAATGAATAAAAATGCATTCAGGATTGAAAAGCATTCATTTTAACATTCGTGAATCAATAAATTTCTGAAAATCTGAATTCATTTCAATCCATTCTCGTTTGCTGGGATTGCTTTTAAATGTGACACAACAATCTTTAAAGATGTCTATGTCCTGAGAAAATTCCTCGAAATAAAATGTGCCGGGTAATGGCTGCGTTCTTACGAGTCTGCCGACTCTCCGCGTTATATAACCGCTCACGCTCCTTTTTTTCGTCATAATCAATTCACGATAACTATGGCGTAGAGGGGAAGGAAGGTGTTAGCAACCGCGGAGAGGAACCTTCGAGAATATCGCGTTGCGCGCATGCGCATGCGCGTGCTGCTCCGTTTCGGTTTCACTGCCGACTGCCGGTCTGCTTGCGGTTCAGGACTCAGGTTCGTCAGACTTAGGTTACACAACGTGCACGAATTCACGAGTGTGCGTTCGTCGCCGGTTTTGTACTCCGATCGACTCGGTGATTGTGAAGGAATCGCGATCATGGTGAGTTATTTATTGTTGTATATACGTGGATCTCTGAGGACCGTTGTAAGAAAGAGGAGTTTTCTTTTTCGCGGGGAAAATCCACGTGGCGTGAGACACGCTATTCCGTGGTCATTTTAATCCATTGATAATCCTTATAAATAGCTTCGTATCTGCACAAGCGATGCTTCTTACTCGGATGTTGTGTTATCTCCGAAGTCACCGTTCGAAAACAAATCGGAAGATGTTGCACCGTTTTCCGTCGTATATATCCGATCACTTCGAAGCGAATTGCTTTTGTTTCTCGAGATAATAGACCGGTCTCTCTCGACTGATTGTATCCTTATCATTTGTTCATAGATAATTCGTAATAACGTTAATCTCTACACGAAGTAATCGAATATGCAGGTATCTCGTAACTTTTGCTGTAAGAGAAATTCTGTTTGCAACTTTCGTCATCATACATTTCTTTTTTATCAAATTTCGTTATTAAATTCACGAAAAAGTTTGAAGATGATGGTTAAGTGCACAAGTCAGTGTGATCGAATTAAATTTAACCACAAATTTTGTAAATTTAGTTAAAATTGATTAACTTTTGCTATAAGAGAAATTCCGTTGACTTTCGTCATCATACATTTCTTTTTCTGTCAAATTTTAGTACTCTTATTATCCATAAAAAAGTTTGGGGATGATTAAGTTACACATAAATCAGTGTGGTCGAATTAAATTTAATCATAAATTTTATAAATTTGGTTAATTAAATCAAAATTGACTAATAGATTAATTACCTTGTTCTTGATATTAACACCTGAAGTTGAAATAATACATTATATTAATAATTGTAAACATTTATGTATTTTCAGGCTGCTGCCAATGTTGTAAAGAGGCTGATTCCTCTCTTTGACAGAGTTCTTATACAAAGGGCCGAGGCTATTACCAAAACGAAAGGTGGTATTGTACTGCCAGAGAAAGCTCAAGCAAAAGTCTTGCGAGGCACAGTTGTGGCCACAGGCCCTGGAGCGAGAAATGATGTGTGTACAAGAAATGTGTTCATATTTTTTAAAAAATATTTCTCTAAATTATCTGTTAATAATTATATTATTTTTTTCTTTGTCATCAGAAAGGAGAACATGTGCCTTTAAGCATTAAGATCGGAGATGTTGTATTACTTCCTGAATATGGCGGTACAAAGGTTGAACTTGAAGACAACAAGGAATATCACTTGTTCCGCGAGTCGGATATATTAGCCAAAGTAGAAGTTTAACTCGTTGAATTTAAGTTTCCAGTTTTGTAAATGCTACAAGGTGTTCTTCTAGAACTTCATTAACTAACAGCAACAAATATGTACACAGAGTTTTACATATGTAATTAAAAATTCTGTTTAACTTGATAAAAACATCTACTTTTTTCTATTGCTGCTAAAATGCTATTATTTCTTACTGTACATAAAATTTTTCTGATAAAATAAAGCATTTGTCTATTATATTTATTTTGTACTATTATATTTACTATTGTACACAATTTCACGTATTAATTACTTGAGTACAAGCGTTTTACAATTATAAGGCAATTAATTATTATTGATAATTTTCAGACAGAATTTTAAATGTCCAATTTTTATAACACTGGAACAATTGATCTTAGAAATCATATATTAATGAGAAAATATCACAGAACACAGAATTATATATAATATTCATATATTTAAAAAAAATATTCATATGGTTTACATTGAATAAAATTATTCAGTTATTTTAATTTAATGCCTTTCTTCACACCCGCTTTAATACCTGAGATCTCACCTGCATAACGAGTCAGTTCCTTTCTTACTTCTCTCACCTGTAAGAAATAATTTTTTTAAATTTCGTATAAAATATTCGAAGAATTCTTGTGTATATCAGTAACAATAGTAAACGTTTAATCTTTATGCTTTATACATACCGCGCCTTTTCTGCGAATTATGGCTTTACGATATTTATTTCTGTGCTTCACTCGCGGATTGCGCAGTTCTTTCTTGCGGTAAGGTGTGAGACCTCTGTTCTTCGCCATTTGATACGTTATCGCTCTCTTGGCATCTTCGTTCATAGTATTTAGAATGGTATCATCTTTTTCATCAGTTACAGATTCATCATCATATTTTTCTTCAGTATCTACATCTTCATCCATGCTTGCTTCTTTGTCTATACTATTAGATAATAATTTCTCTTCTTGTATTACTGCTTTCCTTTTATTTATCAGTTTAGTCAAATTGGTAAGTCTTGGAATCTTTTTACTACTTTGTACTAGAGAACCATCCGATATGCTATAAAGAGGTCGACCTTCCTTAACCGCTTTCAGTATTTCTGTCACTTGCTCTAACAAATCTCCCTGCTCCGATTGCAATTCGTCGAGCAGTTGACGATATTGCTCCAGACGTTTCACAACTGGATGCGTTTTTATTGGCAGCTCCTTCATTTTTAGCATCAAACAAAATGAAATATTTGTGCAATAATTTAATATAACTTCATACTTAGTTCTGATAAAAGTTACTGCGTTGCATTCAGGACATGTTCCATCTTTGACCAATTCAAGAAAGGGTGCTAAAATATCCTTTGCTTCCAACATGCATTCTGTAATAAAAGCAATTATTTATTCAATGCAATAAATACTTTTAATGGTATCATTAATATTTTTGTTTATGATTATATAACAGCATACAAAAAATATAGTTTTTATTCACGATACAAAAAATATTGATTTTAAGACCTTAAATCCTCATTTTAATTAAAATTGAATTAAAATTAATTAGATCAAACTAATCACTATTATTATAAATGATAATTACCACATTAACAATAAATTAATAATAAAATGTATCTAAATATCATTATGAAGTACCTTTAAAAGTATTGACCATAATCATAAAAGATTCCTTGTCAGTCACTTGTTTTCTGTTCTCTTGAACAATTGTGCTGTCTTCTATAATTTCAGCTACCTTGTTTTTATTCAAATTCGAACCATCGAGAGTTAAATGCTGTCCCATCGCTCTTAAATGCAGCCTTTTTCCTTCTTCTTCTTCCATCTCTGCATTAATCAAATCTTTTTGAGGCGCTGATGAATAATCTGTATATTTAAAATCTGACGAGTAAAAAGCTTTTGCTTTGCTGCCCCAAGCTCTTTCGTTTGGCATATCATAATCTTCTTGTATCCCTTCGATGTCAGATTCCATTGAATCTTGTTGATCGTCTGATTCTTCCTCATTGTCATTTAGACCAAGAACTTCATCGTCACTATCAAAATTTTCAATAGTATGCTGTTTTCTTACTTTTTCTAACAATTTCTTTTCAGTTTCTGTATATTCTTCTTCTGAATCTGTCACATCATTCATATCCACATCTTCAATATCATCTTCCACATCATCAGTGTCCTCCTTAACGAGAGGTTTCCTTGTTCTACATGGATAAAAATAAATTCATAAATAAGAACATTTTACTTTTATAAAATAGTATAGAATGAACACAATCAAAATAAAAAAATTCTGGGGGTACATTTCAAAATATTCTCTCTGAAGAAAATTTTATTTCAAAAATATTATTCTAAATATATATAACATATATTATATGTTTTGGAATATAACCCTGATGTATAAAATTTTCGAAATATAAATATTAAAAAATAAAATTGATCTAACACACCATTTATTCTAACCTTTCAAATGGAATTGCTTAATTAATATTGTATTCAACTTTTATTATTATAATTAAATTAATCAAACTTTATTCAAAGACATTATATAATCTTTTTAATTTAATTTTCATTAATAAATTTTTTAGCTGTTACCTTTTTTTGCGAGCCATATTTGCAAATGATATAAAAATGCTTCGAAGAAATGAGTGTTTTCTAACAATGTACACACTTGTTCTTCGTCGATAAATGTGACTTGTCTCCTTCTATGAGTTCCACCGTCACTCTATTCATGGAGTATGGCTCAGAAACTTGCCACCTGGTGGCAGCACTGCGGCCGAATTCTCTACCCACTCCCGTATCTAAAATCCTTAGGGCCCTGGGAAAAAGCAATTACAGAGATAGATTGTCAGATTTTTTATATGCAAGCAAAAGATGGCAGATCTTAGTCGAGAAGTGTTTTAAAATAAAATGCATATTTATAGGAGCTAACAAAAAATTTTTCTTGAGAAAGGATTTTAGCTTATAATGGCTTATATGATATAGAAATGATGGGAGAACAGTAAAATACACTGTAATTAATGTCTTGCCGGAGGTTCACTTATAACAACAATATTTTTGCAATATAAGTTCTCATTTAAGTAGTAGTTAATAAGTAACTACATTTACACGTCACCCTTAATCGAGTTTAACATTTTGTAGTTATGAAACTGGCCAATCACAGTTGTTCCATTCTTCCAAGGAGCAGCTATGATTGGCCAATTTCATAAGCTACAAATGTTATTAAATCCGATTAAAGGTGACGTGTAAATATAGTCATTTACACTACACTCAACAAATTTATATTTTTTACAATATTTTTGAAGTAAGAAATTAACAGCGACATAAAAATAAAAGTATTTTTCGAAAACATTAAATGTATTTAAAACGTAGCATGATCTACATTTAATGTTACAGAGTCTATTGGCGATCAGAGAGTCGTAATAGTATCATTAGGTTTCTTTCTTTTTCTACGTCTTCTTGGTCGTAGAGCGACAAAGCTCAATTCCCGCTCTCTTCGGTGTTCCTCAATACTAATCTTGTTTAGGAGATAGGGACCGCCAGACATCATGCCGATTGCTCCGAGTGGCGCTAGAAATATTATAGCAATTACGGATATCCTCACCACGTCGAGAGCTAATTCTATTTTCATGGGGTCGCCTTCTTTTATAGCTTGTTCAAATGCCAACGGCGCTAATGCTGCCTAATTTTCGAAATATCAACACTCAAATTATTAATTTTGGTAAATTTTCGATAGAGAATTAACTGCATAGAAAGAATGGTCTTACTGAAGTGTTTAAAACTTTAGCTCATTATAAATCTATAACAAGAATTATTTGTTAGATATGATTATCTATTATTATGACTATTTAATTATTATTAGACACTCAGGCTGATTGTTAGAATAATACATTTTACAACATTATCATCGTGCTTGAGCGTTCAGTATAATATTAGGTGTTGGAATTAATTCGTAGCGTTTTTAATGAAAGAATGTTATTTATTTCACATGAGCATTAAAAAATACATTAATGAAAGTACTTCCCATCACTTGTAAAACGCTACGAATTAATTCAAACACTTAATAATTATATTTATGGCTCAATATATTTATTTTCGCGGATCTGTATCTGGCTTAATTTTTACATACTTCAACAAAACCGTTATTTCACGTAAAAATGGAAGAAAAAAACTCTTTTTACCTGCAAAGTTCCTTTTGGTATCCAAGCTATGGCGATGAAGAGTCGTTCTTTCCATGTAAAAGGCATTCGAATCGTTGTTAAAAAGGCAGTACTACTGCGCACCTAAACTTAGAAAATTGTATGAAATTTTTTGCATAGCATTGTTAAGTATATTTATTTATAAGATAGATAATATGATAAAAAAACATTATTATTGCGAAAAAATTAACTTTCAAGTTTTATTTTGAACTAAAGTAAAACATAGTTATATTCTAATTTTTTACTCGCACTCACCTATGCGAAGTTAGCCCCCCCCCTTTCCCCCCTCCCAATATTAAGGGGTATAGTCAAGAGGTATGCTCTAGCGGACATAAAATCAGCAATAAATTCAAACTTTTTTTTTAATTAAAAAAATAATTTAACAAAATCAAATTAAAGTTAAAATTGATTAGTGCATACCCATACAGCATAGAAGATTGAAACAATATTGCTGCAATGTTGCAATATTGCAGATTGCAATGTAATATTGCAGAGATATTACAGAAATGTAAATTAACAATATGTCTGCAAAATGTCAGTAATATGCTTGTAATATTCCACAAATATTGCAAAACTGTAATTCTTAATTGTTACAATAATAATATAAAAATATAATATAAGTTTTTACAATATTTGTGTAGTACAGTTTTTTAGATTAACAGTCGTTTTTATGATATAATAATTAATATAATTCATTTTATATTTAAATAAAAAATTTATTTATCTATTATTTGACGGCCATTTCATTAGCTAAGTTTTATATTTATTTTAAATATGAAATCAAAAGATTGTATAATATCGAGGATATTTGGATACAATCAATGTAATCATTATTGGATAAGATGATAAGCAATTCAGCTGCTGAAAACAATTTATCGAAATATTAATTATGTGATCGATGATGTATTTATGATCTGATGTGAACGCAAGAATAAACCAACGCTTGAACTTTATTGATAAATTTTATATCGTTATTTTTTAATCGATTTCAATTGATTCGGAGCGGTTTCGAATTAAAAAGAATCACTACGATTAACTTAATCCATGATTAACTTACCGACTGTATTATATGAATAATATTTATGTAATTTGTTTGGGGCACACATACATGCTTTATCTATGCTTATGAATAAATTTATCCTTCAGAATAACTATTATAATACTATATTTATTGAAAATATTTTATGTTAGTATGATAAAAAATTGCTTTTGGAAAGCACATATCACTAGAAATGTGATTTGTAGAAAAATTAAAGTTAGTGAGATATATATATATATAATATATATATAGAAATACTTTTCATTTTAGAGCCTTCGTAAAAAATTTATCCAAAAACATTACATTGCAATATATTGCTGGAACGTTTTGTTGCAATATAACAAAAAGCAAACATTATTATCTTAACATTGTTGGAATTTTGCAACAATGATTTAGTAACGTTTCGCAACCATCATGCAATATTGTAATGTTTCAGTGAAATCATTCTGCAATGTTTCTGCAATCTTTCTGTGCTGTATGGGTATATTAAAGTCCACAAAAAAATTTTTTGTATTTTTTTATATCTAAAATGGAGATGCTACTAGTTTTTTTCAAAACAACGTTTTTCAAATTGGTTTGACAAATAACTTGAATAATTTTTATCCGAATGGGTTCAAATTTTAAATGCAACTTTTTAGACACATTCCGCAGAGAAATACATAGGGATTTTTCGATATATAAAAAACTTTTTATTTTATAAACAGTTTTTCATAAAATTAAAAAAAAATGCAAACGTGACTTCAAATATCTGCCATTTTTGAAAATATCAATATTTTCACCCTTATGTATTTCTCTAGGTATTTTAATGTACATTAAAAAAAAATTTTTTTTTTACTTTAGGTTAAAATTTGTGGATGCTAGATATAAAAGAGCATCTCTAAAAAAAACGTATTAGGTTCTGTTACCGGTAGTGGTGCATTTTGAAAAAAATACAAAACAAATTTTTTGTGGACTTTAATATATGCACTAACCAGTTTAATTTGATTTTATATTGAATTATTTTTTTAAATTAAAAAAAATTTTTTGATTTATTGCTGTTTTTATGCCCACTAGGGTAGCCCTATCTCTTAAAAAATCCAAAATTATCTTTTTGCAAACGTTTGCCCCCTCTAGTTTAAAAGAGAGAAAGAGAGAGAGAGAGAGAGAGAGAGAGAGAGAGAGAGAGAGAGAGAGAGAAAGAGAGAGAGAGAGAGAGAGAAAGAGTTATATATATATAAACATATAGACTAATTAATTTTAAGAGAGTCAATTTCACGCCTTAAACCTATTCTACAACAGTCATAAGCGTAGTTGTAAGTGGTTGTAAAAATTGACCAATCAAGTCGAATGTGAGGAGAATATTTGGCTGTGATTGGTCAATTCTTACAACTACAACCACTTACAACTACGCTTATAATTATTGTAGAATAGGCTTTACTTCAACTTTTGTCTAAATCTTTTATTCGAAATTGCATTTGTTTTTGAGCTATCCGATTGCAGACTTTTGGTGTTACCATGTATAAGTTTTGTACAATATTATGTATAAAATTAATATAAATACTTGATTTATAAAACATTTTATGGTTGTATTAACTATAAAAAAGTTTAATCAATTGTACATTAATTTCAAGTATAAAATTAATATTGTACATTAATTTTAAATATAAAATTTATATATGTTGCTATCCCATTTATATTTTTTCCCTGAATGTCGTAAACTAATATTCACTTTTCATCTCGTACGACATATGTAACTTACAAATATTCCTATGAGTACACAAGTGAGATAAAGTCCGAATCTGGATGGAGGCCAGTTTCTAAAATCAATGTCGGCACCAATCACACCTCCTAAAATCGGTTGTACGAAATGCCATAAAAAATAAAATGCTTTTTGAAAAGGTGTTGTCTGCAACATAAAGAGAATAATTAAAATTAATTTTTTTATATCAAATTTTAATTTTTAGTAGATGAACAATTAAGACACGTATTAATATATTCCGTGTCGGATCAATTTTACATGACTTGTTATTTACATCGTGGCCTATACGGTATGATTGCTATATTTGTGTTTCATAATCCAATAAAATGTATTTTATAATGCTTAAGAAATTACAAAAAATATTATTGTAAACAGGAAGATCTAGAGTATAAAATGTAATGTAGGATAAAAAGAAATTTACTAAAATTTAATTTAAAAATATTAATTATATAAAAATATTTATTAATAGATAGACAAGTATTTAATTGATAAATATTTCATAATTAAAATGATAAAATAAACGATAATGACATTTTATATTAAAATATAAATAGAATAAATATAGATACTGTTTGTTAGGACAATCCTTACAAAATATTGCAATTTTTAAAGCCGAATTTCTTTTAACTGATGTATCTATCTTGTTTTTTTCTTTAATAGATCATTTTTATATAAAATAAGAAATTAAAGATTAACATCTATTTTAATTAACTATTACAGAAATAATACACGATATTTTAAATCGAAAGATGATCTCATTCCTTATGAATCATCGATGATTT